GGGGCGCCTCCTCCCCCACCACCAATAAATCAATCAATCAATCAATCAATCCCTTTTTTTTTGCATCTGCATTTTTTCAAAACACCTCATACTTCTGCAAAAAAACATAAATTCATTTCTGAAAAAATACAGGTAAACTCACGGACCATATATCTAATGATAAAAAATGACCAAAAAAAAATCCTGCTTTTCTTTATATATTTCTTTTAATTTTGTTTAAATTGATTTTAGTTTTTGATTTTTTAAAAATCTTAAACAAAGTCGGATTCGAAAAAAAAAAATAAAAAATGAGTGTAGGGTATTTTTAGCCCTACACATATATATATTTTTCATGCATTAGAAAAAAACATAAAAATCTTGCACCGAAGTTGGCTGGTCGGCCCAGGCCAAGCCCGGCAGATTCGGCCATCGGCCTAGGCCGCGGCCGACTTGGACCCCCCGGCCGCGGCCGGGCGTGCAACATAGCTTTAGAATATTCTATTATTGTGGCAGCCACTGCATCAGATCCTGCTCCTCTTCAATTTCTTGCTCCTTATGCAGGTTGTTCTTTGGGAGAATTTTTCCAAGACGATGGAATTCACGCTCTAATTATCTATGATTATCTAAGTGAGCAATCAGTGGCATTTCGACAAATGTCATTATTGTTATGTCGATCACCAAGTCAAGAAGCTTTCTCCTATGAATGCTCAAGATTCTTCTTTCTTTAAAAGGGCGAGGGTCTCGAGATATCACCATTGAACTGACCGTCCCCAGGTGATTCAAAAAGATAATTCTTCTGTTCATTTGATTGTAACCCGGATGGGAACTTCGGTCTGTATTTCAACAGTTCCATGGGTGTATCAAGTAGTATCAATTGAGATAGGCCCATGGGTACTATGCATACTTAATATTAGTTAACGCTAATCTAAACAAAACAGGAGACCACAACTCTCCAGACAGTTGGAAACTAAATTGGCCCTCACGGGCGGGAAAAAAAAAAAAGATCATGTCCGCCATGAAGGGGGAGGTAAAAAACTCATGTCCGCCATGAAGGGAAGAAAAAAAAAAAGAAAAAAAAAAAAGATCGTGTCCACCTTCTAGGCTTCTACGGCTTAGTAAACATACACATCGGATTCACGACATCCACATTCGATTCACAAGGACAGGACGCAGCGTCCCATTCCGGGCATAACATCGTCTTGCGGACACAGTGCAGAAACTTTTGCATACACCTTCCCTAACAGACCTTTCCTGCCCTAAGAAAAAAAAAAAAAAGTCCGGTGCGAAATTATCCATTGCACATATCATTCTAAAGTAGGAACCATCTGAAAACAATACCCCCCCAAAAAAATATAAAGGAATTTTCAATTGTCAATTTTGTGCAAAACCAGTTGAGACTGTACTCTACCGTAGTGCCCGTGTAATGCACCCGCTCCATTTGTGAATCGGGAAATGCACATCCTGCACATCATACCAGAAGAGTGAACAGAACCTTTCTCCAAAGCCGCTGTAGTAGCGTCCATTGCGGAAGAGTAAAGTAAATAGAACCTTTTCTCCAAAGCCACAGCAGTAGTGTCCATGCAGCTCCCCTTTTCCACCAGGTGCAAACTGGGAATTGCACATCACGCCGGAAGAGTAAATAGAACCATTCTTCAAAACCAGTGAAGAAGACACAAGCCGAGAACTCCTCATGCAAGGATGGACAACCATCCCATGAGCAAAAACGAGTAATGAAGACCCAAAAAAAAAAAAAAAAAAAAGAAATCCAACAAAAACATCCACTGTGCCAAGAGTCTGACTATGCCAATCCATTACCAAAAATCCAGTGAGGCAAGAGTTCAGGCTTTTCACCAGCTCTCTCTGACACAAACAGGTCCAGCCCCCCTGGGAAATGTCACAATGATAATTAAATGAAGTTTAATGAACACTCCCCCAACTGAATATAGAGACGTTTCCAAACCATTTCACGCCGACATAGAACAAACAAATCATGGTTTCTGTCCAATGGGCCAGTACAATTTCTTATTCAACAACTCACAAAATAATAGAACTCCCATTTCCACTCAAATGGTATTCACAAACCTTCCCCATTCAGAGGGTCATCATCATCATAATCATCATCATAAACTACTGGGTACATTACACATATGGTGCTTACCTCCTGCTCTCGATCACTACCGTGGTCTCCCTCTTCTCAATGTGCTGACAATTTCAGGCTTTGCCGACTACGAACATGCCAGACGCTACCATGCATGCTGGGCAATACTTAGGTACTCAACCTTCTGCTCTAGAACGAGCGCCATGCTCACCACTTCCTCCAGATGTGAGCGACACCCACTACCATTAGATTCCATCCTGCTCCCAAGGAAATCTGTTCTCAAACCTGTCTGAGCACACGCTCAGCGTTGGGCCCAACGCAAACTGTGATGCCCTCCAGCTTTAAACCTTAAAACTGTGCACTTCACAGCAGCAGACCCGTCCAAATGTCTTCATGCTACAACTCTGTCATGCTACGTCACTATGTGTAGACATGCTATAATATATAATAGCGCAACCTGTGTTATGCGAATGGTGCGGTTCGCAGTTCTAAGATTACCCCGCTACATACACGGAACGCAAACCACATGATCAAGACCTTGTTTTATCATCACGATACATACGCGCCAACGCCAGTGATGCCACCAAGTACCCCCCAAACACCACTACCACCAAGTTGTAACCCATAGATTCTGTACTCTGCTCCCACAAAAGCCCTCACTGAAAGCTTTCACAGACCGACTCTGGGTTGCCCCCAGGATCCTTGCTGAAATACTCCGCACACTGACAAACGTGGGATTAATACCAACCAAGTACCCCCCAAACACCACTGTCACCCAGTACCCCTAGACTATGTACTCTGCTCCCACAAAAGCCCTTCCCAAAAGCTTTCACAGACTGACTCTGGGTTGCCCCAAGGATCCTTGCTGTAATACTCTCCGTACACTGACGAACGCAGGATCAATACCACCCAGTACCCCTAGACATTGCCCCCCGCTCCCACGGAAACCTGTACTGAAAGCTTTGACTGACAGACTCATCAGGGTCGTCCCCCGCGATCCTCACGGTGATGTTATCCACATACTCAGGATTGCCACCAAGAACCCTAGGGGGACATGATTCACAGCAGAAGACCAATCCACTTGTTCAGGATCGAACTCCATCATGCCATGCATTGTGGACATCGTAGAATGGCCGACAACACCTGTGCTACCCAAACGGCTTGATTCTCAGACTCGCCCCATGCATGGAAAGAGAACCACACGATCAAAATCCTGTTCCATCGCCATATATCTGGGCCAATGCCGGTTTTCCCTTTAAGCGGAAGGCTTGATGACTTCCTTCTTCTTCACCTCCGCATACATTGCATCCACCTCAGCCTGAGAGAAATCAGTCAAAAGCCAAAATCAAAATGTCAGGTCTCAAGCAAGAGCAACACCTGCCCGCACTGCATAAAAAGAACGCTAGCCAAAACGAGGAGAACGCCATTCCTCAGGTCGTATCCCCATCCTGAGAATCTTACTTCAGCATGGGTAAGGTAGGCAGGCAAGCAAAATCAAGTCAAGCCGCATAGTGATCAGTCAGTCCAACCGTTGTGTGCACGTCAGATATTCTCATGCCTTTCATGTTCGCTCTATCAGCACAACTGTGGACGATGACAATAAGCCCACACTCAAGAGGAGTGGTAGCCAACGAGAGACCGATATAGACCAGGAAATATCCCCACTCAGAACCTTCGATATGGGCATACTCGTCAGGCAAACCATCAGAGGCACAAGTTGTGCTGAGTCAAGCCATGTTCACTTGATTGGACTTTAGCCACAGTTTGACAGTGAGTGGGGTGCTCAAGATCTCTGTGTATCTCAGTGAGATGAACAAACAGACTTTAGACAACATAAGCAGCAGCAGGTATAACTCCACATGGTGTTACTGCCAGCCTATCTCAGTGAAATGGAGGCATAGACAGGCGAGAGGACATACACAGCCCTGTCTATACCAACAAAGGCCTCCAGGTTGGGCAAGCGGTGCAGGCCAGGTTGGTAGCTGTGTTGTTCAGAAGAAACAGGGCGTAGCAGCTAGGGCAGCGAGAGGGATTTGACGGTCTGATGCAGGACGAAGAGGTGGCCTCACGCCCCAACGTTTGCTGGTAGTTTAGCACAATTATCATTACCGCACACAGCTACTTACCAGACATGGGACGCTGGACCCATTTTCCATCTGGGTTTCCTACTTGATGTACCTATGGGACGCTGGACCCGGTTTCCAGCAGGTGCGGCTCCCCACCAAAAGATGGAGCAGCCCGCCAACCAAGCCTCCAATCCCGATGGTTCTTTCACCACCATTGGGATAGCTGGCTTATCCAAGGGCCTGAAAAAAAAAACGGGTCCTTATGGCCCTGGCTCCATATACATTCCGGAGAGCATCAATCCGGTTCCTATGCACCGGCAAGTCAAAAATGCAATTAAACGTATCAACAGACTCACGATATCCCAGGGCTTTTCACACACACACACACACAAAAAAAAAAAAAAAAGAAAGAAAGAAGAAGCAGACTCAAGCAGTGGCTTTATAACAGTCTCCACTCACTCCAGGATGGAAGATACCAAACTGCGGGAATGGACACCCGCCAAGTAGAGGCTCAAGTACCTTGTAATACTTGAGCAATTGTGGGCGCTTCTTCTTGAAAGTCGGTGTCAAGAGATCTCTCTCCATATCGAATGGCCGATGATCCAGGTGTACTGTCTTCACCAGCTCATAACCTTTCAACTGCACAGCAACACAAACAATACAATAACGACATCCAGACCACTCTGTTGTGTAAGGCACCCCAGATCTATCCTGCTGTCCATGCGTTGAGGTCTCAACAGCCACATCCATGACTGTTATACCGACCCCAAACGAAATCAACCCTAGCTGGACACGATTTCCAGCAGGTGCCGCTCCCCACCAATAGATGGAGCCTCCCTGGGAGTGCTAGCGGTGTCTGCTCTCACCCCTACCACCACCCCGGGTGTTTAAAATTAAAAAAAAAAAAAAAAAAAAAACAACAACAACAACAACAACAACAACAACCTAGCTCAGCTGCATGACCAGCATCGCAAGTCCTTCAGCTGGCTACATTCTTTCAGAGCCTCACGGGCCACATCATCCCTAAAGCAGCAACAGCAGAATGCAAACCAACCATCCCTAAGAAGCAGCGGCAAAATGCAAACCGTACGAGCAATCAATCACTACCTACCGTCTTCACCCAAACAGAACACCAATAATTGCCGTTTGTGGACTGAAAGTTGCACCAAATACAGCTATAATGACCGCACATTCTATTCGGGCGATGATGGTAGTCTCCCTATCCGAACTCGATTGCTGTCATTGCTGTGTACATCAAAAGAGCCCAAAACTTACCTTTCCTCGCTTGCCAACCTCAGTGAGCTGCTGAAGAATCCATTTACTGGCCTCTGCTTTAGCACAGAGTGCTTCATAATCTCCCTCGATGCCAGCTGAAGCAGCCCATGCAAGAAGAGCTGACTCCTTCGGCACTGCAACAGCAACGAGGACAGACTCAAAACTGTTCCCGTACACCCAAACCTGCACACCCATACACAGAGAACAAGCATCAGTTGCCATCACGACATGATAGCTGAAAGACGAGAGAGGACAGAAAGCTGGAAAAAGGGCCAAAGAAGAGAAGATTGTTAAACCAATCAAGGGACTGTGGAGCAATCTGGACGGCTTGGGAAGGGGTGCCAAGTACTCGTGGTAAACACGGCAAAAGTATATACCACCTGCAGGGCATCTTTGGAATCTCTAAAGCACAAAACAGAGTTTAGCGATTCCGATGACCATTTGCGTTTCGCGACCGTCTTTAGCAGGCATTCAAACCACAAGACATCAAAACTGATTATGCTATCTTATATCCAAGTCACTGAACAACCTGACTGAAGCCAACTGCTCACCATCCCCACTGCGCTGCACTGTCAATATATGTTTGCCAAATTCTCGACAGCAACGCCATCGTCTTTAGCAGGCATTCTAACCACAAGACATTGAAACTGACTATGGTTTTTTATTTATATCCAAGTCACTGAACAACCTGACCAAAGCCAACTGCTTACCATCTCCACTGCACTGCACTGTCCATATATGTTCTCCAAATTCTCAACAGCAACATATTCTCCTTGTGACAGCTTGAAGATGTTCTTCTTCCTGTCAATGATCTTCATGCTTCCGTCAGGCTGCCATTCCCCAATATCTCCTGCAGGGTTCAACCAATGCGGAATAGAGAAAAAGGACCCGATATGGAACATGAAAAGGAACAGGAAGTGAATCAAGAGGAAATTGAAAAAGGAGCAACATGTATGTTACACACAGAACCACCACAGTGCACTGACCCATACCTCCTACCAGAGAGAACTAAAACCTTGGCCAACAATACTGGACGAAGGACAAATTCCGAACCAGTGTGGAGTTCCCAGAAGGAAGAGCCAAGAAGACAAATCCTGAGCTTTTAGGGGCCCACACACAATTGCAAGAAAAGAGAAGAGTGCCACCACGAGAAACATAGATGTGTGCCACCATGAGGGAGGGTCTAGTCTGGTATGTGCGATATCCTCGATGCAGTCGCAGCTGCAAGCTCCCCCGTTTTTCCAAACGGGAAAGGCTCGATGCTGCTCGTCGACCTTGACTAGGCTTCACGACTTAGCCTTGATCGCCTGCCATCCAAGTTGTCCCGCTGACCAGTCGTTGCCATGCAGGCGACCGCACCCTTCCACTGGCGTGAAGGTCTGCAACTCGGCATCCATGCACAACTGCTCTCTCACATGTGTTCCCTCTCCGGATGGGCGCAGGCGACCACACCCTTCCACTGTCGTGAAGGTCTGCAACTTGGCATCCATGCACAACTGCTCTCTCACATGTGTTCCCTCTCTGGATGGGCCGCTTCAGTGTTCGATGCGCTTCGGCATGCACTTTGACATGTAAGTTTGAGCAACCATCTTTTTCTAGGAGAAGGTGTGGTAATGGCATCAACATCTTCCACAGAGAAAAGGGTTGAGGATTGTGAAGGACTCAATCGACTTCTGAGAAAAACTTCTGGGGAACTCTATTGAGGAATAAAACTTCTGGTCTAGCAAAGGGAAATGTCCTTCCCAGATAATTTACGAAATGTAGGAGGACGGGTCCAGATAAAAATAGGAAAGATAAGGACTCGTACACCTCAGGACGGGTACACTGGCAACGACAAGCGTTCTTCATGCTTCCTTGTAACATCCATCATGTCCGCCGTCATCGCACTGCCTTTCAGTCCTCTTCCAGGTCGGTCCTTCTCAATGCTCACAAGGCCGCTTTTGTTCAGGTGTTCAAGGGATGGGCAACAGCCTTGGTGCATGCGATGCCCACAGGCCTTGACGGGTACCCTCCTCCAAGGATCCCTGAGCACTTGGCTAACACTACATAATACATATGCGTCAGACGACATACGTGTCTCCCACCTTTTCCAGGGAATCAACAGCAGTCGCCACCACCGTGATCATAGGACAACCACATTCGGTAATCCTGCCACAGTTGGCCAGCGCTCTTCATTCCTTACACCCACCATAACATCTGAGCTTGACTAAAACATCACTCAACAAGCTAAACATCTAGGAAGATTCTCACGCCCGGCTGGTCCTGCCCGGCCAGGAACTTGGGGGACGCCCGGGGTACCCGGGCGTGCAAAAAAAAAAAAAAAAAA